GTCTTTTTATTGCTTCATTGGGAGTTGAATCAGGTCCTTTGATTCTTTTTCTCTCTGGTCTGATTTCAGAGTCACTGAGTCACTGAGAAAATTGAAGGAGCAGCAGACACGAAGCTGCCTTCTTAAAACGTAGCAATACTCTTCAAGACTCCTAAACTTGTAAATATGTGGGCAACAGGCCGTGAGCCTGTATCAAATATTTCGTGCATGTTGAAGTTCCCGGTATAAGCCTCATAGAGACCAGATTGCTAATAGCATGTAAAATTTCACTTTCTAGATACCTCAGGGCTTTTCTAATTTTAAGAAATATTTTTATACTGTTTCATGTGAAGTTTCTTGAGTAATAGGCTAAAGGGGTTATGATACATTGAAGGCTGATAACTAGTTTTAAGCACAGGTAGTTGTTTCCAGTGAATTACAGATCACAGAGATTACAGCCCAAAAGCATGATGTGACAAACTGGCAGAAAAATACTAACTTCAGGTTTACAGATGGGACAGAATGATATGTATAGTGGAAAAAAGAAAGTAATGTGAAAGGTAGGATCTTAGTAAAAATATGTTCTGCTTTCTGGTTACGAGCTGCCTTGGCAGCTGTGTTCCAGACAAACCGCTTCCCTCTACAGCAGAGCTTTTTGTGAGCACAGTTCTTTCATAAATGCTTGGGTTTAGCTTCTAGAACTTAGTCCCCTGCTAGATAAGAACGACTGGTTCCCCCATCACTTTCAGAACTAAGTACAAAATTTATTTTTTTTAATTCAGCTGTACTTCAATAAATGTTTCTCATGTGCACAGAGCCATCCTACTTCATATTCACACGTACTAATATAAACAAAACAGCCTACACATGCATCCAAATGTTTTTCTGTGCAGCTAGTAAAAGGCGGAAGAAAGAAAAAGATTATTCTTTCCATATTCACAGTAGGTGAACTCTTGACATCACTGATTTCATGGCCCTGGAAAGGGTCTGTAAAAATTGAGCTTAAGCCAGCTACTCTAAAACTATTAGTATGTAAATATAAAGTACGCTGTCATTGCTGGGTGTTTTAATACTGATAATTTTTCCACTGGTGTGAAAAGTTGTGAAAAATAATTTCTCCCCCATTAGGTATTGTTTGGTTGATTGCATGGTCATGAGAGCAGAGGCTATGTGTGATTTTAATGAGGGTACAGTGCAGGGAAGAATGGAAACTAATGCTTTAAAGCAAGAATTTTCTGAGTTATAATGTATTTATAGAATAACGTGATTTCTTTTTACTTGAGCTGTTTTCAGTGACTACTGTCACTAGTGACTAACGTGTGTCAGCCATTTCCTGGGAGAATGAGGTGCCGGGACTCTGGTCAAGGGCTGTGAAATCTTCCCCTTTCAGGACTCGGTGTTGGTCCGGAGCAGTGTGGTGCACTGAACACGATACCGCCTGACAGGTCATCGCTGGTGTCTCATCAGTCTGCTCTGGACAATTATTGTCTCTCTGAGTTTCTTTCGTTAGGAGGATGAACAGAATCCAAGGATGAAATTTAGCATGTCTCCCGTTGCATTTTCTCATCTTTGAGATTCCTTCGCACATTGCAGTTTAGGGCACACTAGTGAAAGGGTATGTAAGAAAGTTGTTTGCTGTACCGGTTCTATTAATTGAGCAGTAAATTGGTTGAAAGTAAATGAAAAGATAATTTCAGGGCTGTGAAGGCTTAAAATTTTACTGCAATCCTTACAATATGTGATGGGAAGTGGACAGGTTTTTGTGTGTGGTTTTTGCCTTCAAAATCCTACTCCTGCATTAAATAAGTAAATAAAAGTTTCAGTTCTCATTTAAAAAGATGTATTATGATCTTAAAATGTACTCACTTTTTAAAATTTAAGGTTTTAATTTGGTTGGTATTTTTAATGACTTGGAGTGGCAGTTTTACAGTGATGCCTGGCATGGGCTCACCCGAATGTGTTCACATTACTCCATGCCATGATTGTATCCAGGATTGTCTTCTATCTGTTTTAAGACTATTTGCATGAATCTGCAATAGTAAAATTGCAGTCCTACTGGTTTTTACATTATACTTGTTTGGCAGGGTTTTCAGTTTGCTTTTAATATTGAATTTCTTAACTTTGCAGTGGATGCTTCTGCAACAATCCACCTGTTCACAAACATAATCTGTTTCCAATTATTTTTACAGTGTTTCCCATAAGCTATTAAGTTGTCTTCTGATGTTGTTCTCTGTATTTAGAAATATTTATTGTGATAGTATTATGTCCATAAAGCAGAGGAATTTCTAGTTATGGCCCAGGAGAAGCTTTGCAGAATTTGTTTCAGTCATTTTAGAAAACCGTTAGCTCTCCATATTTTTCCAGATACAAGATAATAATCAATTCAAATTTTTCTGCTTACCGATAATGCTACTGGGCATGTGGAAGTTAGCTCTGCAGTGTTTTTCAGGTCTAAGTAGCATGTATTACCTTGCCTTTGCTTACAATGCTAAAAGAAGATAATACAGAGTGGTAATTTCTGCCATTCAGCTGAATAAGAATCAGTGGCCAGCAGAGCTTGCTGAATAACAAATATTAATAGCTCAGACTTTAAGTAAGATCTTATAAAATGAATTTCAAACAGATCTTAAAACCTATGTTGTGTTAAACAAAAAAAAAAAAAGCAGACCAATTCCTCACCAGAGAAGATGAACAATGTAGTTTCTCGCTGTGAACATGAAGGTGCCTATGACTGATACTGGTGACTAAGTGAAAAATCTAATGGTGTTTTCTTTGCTTGTTCACATAAATATATTACTTCCCCAAGACAAGTAAGCATTTGGGAACTTTTGAAGTTTTGCTTAAATGAAAATTAGTAGCTTCTCTGGCAACTGCTACCTAGAAACTATTTGAAAGCGATGCTGTAGTATGAAAAAAGTAACATAAAGTAAGGCAGTTATCTATGTCTTCATGTTATGAGGGAGGTATTGATTAAGGGTGGTGCATCTTTTTTTTTTATTTATTTCATATATCACTAGTTAACTTCTGGAGGTAGTACTCTAGAAACAGGACTGTTTTTTCATGTTAGACAACCTCTTTGGCAGAGAGGTTGCTTCTGTATAACACCCATCCTTGACAAGATGATGGTCAAATTAATCGATCAAGTATTTTGTCTTGTCTTCTAGCACTATTTAAGATCAAGGTTGAAATCAGTCATTTATTATTGTCTGCCAACCCTTATTATTGCTTATTGCCAGCAATATGCCTATATAGAAAAATTAAGGTCTGAGTTCTGACATAAGAAAGAGTTTGTTCTGGCTTACATATCTCCAAAATTACATCAGTAGCAATGAAGACACAAGTATGTCTAGCTTAAGTAAGGGCCAGAAACCAGGCTAAGTCCATAGGGAGTTTTTGTGCTGGATGCTGCACCTAAAGCATGAGTTTAGGTATTGTCAAAGGCTGCAGTGTGTAGTGTAGAGATAACACAGAAGTTAAAGGAGCTCACGTAAATAAGGCTTTCAGTGCTGTACAGACTTCTACAGTTAGAAATGAAAGCTTTGCATCCTTCAGAGAGCATGGTGCTGCCCCCGCTGCGTAAGTGTTTCTGTGATAGAATCCTATCTTCGTTTTGCAGTGTAGGGGTACCATACGGACTGACAGGAGGATGGGGCACTTGCCATGATGCTTTTAACTGAATAGGTACAAGTATTCATCACATTGTAGAATTCTGAAATTGTTCTTCACTATCGCATTCTTTCCTGCTGCTGCTTGTGTTAGGACTTCAGCCTGCAAAAGCACTTGGTTCTAAGTCAATTTTAAGCTGAAGATGCTGAAAGAAAAGTGCCCTGACAACAAAAGCAGGATGTTTTGGGTTTCTGTTTTGGTTTAGTTTAGATTTTTTTTTAAATGTCTATATGTCTATAGGCTTGCACTCACTAGGAAGTTTATTATTATTCCTTTTCCTGCTGGTGTTCCAGAATAGTCATGGAAGCTCACAGGAACTCTTTCTGTCCTGTTGCTTATCAAGCAGTCTTTGAAACAACTGAAATGCTGCTGTTTTCTAAAATCTGAAGGACTAAAAACACCTAAGTGGCTTCAACTTGAACTCGCAGTGATACCTAAAAGTTTAAGCTGTATAAGAAGGGTACAGATATATTTAAAGAGTGGAAGCCTGTGACAGGACCGTGCTTACCCTCAGGAGTAGCGATCAGATTTAGAGGAGGTGTGGAAAATAAAAATTTAGAGCTCCATCTAACAGCTATCAAATAACTGATATTGCAGTATCAGTAGCTAACAAGCATATACCACCAAGAGGTGATAGCGCTGCACATCCACATGAATTGCAGCACCTTAGTGCTTACTTTCCTGTAGGGGGTTATCCTCTGAAGGATGAGGAGGGGAGAGAAGCTACCCATGTAGTTACAGTTATAGAATTACTGCAGTTTAGATTTCTTGTCACAGCCCTTAGGGGCAGAAAATTAGTTGTAAATGAGATAGGGCTATTTATGCTTTATGTAAATTTCAGGAAGTAGTGAATCAAACTGTTGTCCTTAACTTGAATATGTTTATCTCATCAGTAGCAGTTCAAATATGACTACTCGAGAAGAGGAAAGTGCTTTCTGGTAGGATGTATTGAGAATGCATTACGATTCTGTAATTTAGTTGTGAACAAACACATTCTTTTTAACAAATGAAAGTAAATCAAATACTTTCACAAAGTTAAGAAGCCTAATAACTTTTACAGCAGTCCACATTTCATGACTGATAAAATCAGAATGAGTTTTGAGATTGCCTGGAAAACTGCCATGCTGTTTCCATCATAATTAAAAGATGATAAGATGATAGTTAACAAGTGAAAAGACGTCACCAGCTGTGTTAAGCAGAAGATGATATGCAGAGCGTGCAAGTGCATTTACTAGTGGTTCTTTTTTTCCTTTTCTGATAACAAATGCAAGGAAAAATTCTTTATTTGTGTGTTTTTACATATAAAACATGTATGCTTTTTGTAATAGCCATTTTTCCCCCTTTTCTTTTTCCAGAGTCAAGATGACAGATTTGCTTTCACTGCTGAATGGTATGATCCAAATGCTTCACTGTTTCGGCGTTATGAACTTCTGTATTATCCAAAAGATGGATCAGTTGAAATGGTAAGAATAAACAAAAAATATCTATTACTATAAGTGTAATATCCAATTAAACAGTCTGTAAAATGGCAAGCCACTGCCTATGCCTATCAATTTTCCAGGTAAGGAAAATGTAATTTAAGACATATCTTGCTCTGTTTCTAAAAAGCAAAAATACAAGTTCACAGTGAAGCATGTGGAGGAGCTACATTTTCACAAATCTGTTTTCATTCAATCTGTGCTTGGGTTTCAGAATTAAAACTGAACAACACTGACCTACTGCTTGAGAAACATAAATTGAAGCTGATTCCAAACGGGATTAAGCTTCAGCAGGAATTCCAGAAGTCTCTGAAGAATAAAATATAAAAGAATCTTACTAAAGTAGAGGAAATGGTAAATTGTTCTTAATTTGGTTTTAATGAAACGAAAGATGTTTCAGACAGTGGGACCTAAATTTTTCCATCAGTGGTGCTTGTACAGACCTTTCTGACTTGTGGTTCATGCAACTAATTCCCGTTGTTTATTGATAGTAGGCTAAGCATTTTGCAGTAGCAGGCATATCTATATAAAAATGTAACGTGTACTTTAAAGATAATCCTAATAAATCAGCTAATGCTTTGTGCTTCCTTTTAGGAATGAGTGAACGGTTTGGACTAGTCTCTTCTGATTTTTAATGAAGACCTAAAGGTCTAAGAATAGCCTAGATTTGAATATTCACACTTAGTAATTTCGTTATCAGATTTTATTTTTCTTGCTATAAATATCAAATGCAGAAATAAGAAACGTAGTGGAATCTGCCTTTTCTTACCCAAAGTACTGCTCACTGAAACCATGGTACTCACCTCTGTGAGGAGATATACTTTGTACTTTTTACTGATAGTCTCTTTAAACAAACTCCATCATGATGTTGTCCCTTTTAAATTAGTTCTTTGTATGATGCCTGTGTGTGCACAGTTGTCAAAATGTGATGATTTTTATTTTTTATTTCCCAGAGACAGTTTAGCTAATCAGTCAGGAGCCGTAATAATCTTCCTACACAACCGTGTGTAGGCTGGCAAAATTGTTGTTCATTTCACCTAGATTTTCCAAAACCAAGAGCTTTCAAGGTGTTCTTGAGCTTCTTAATACATTCAGCATCAAACACCTACGGATGGCTTGGTAGACTTTTGCATTTTGCTAGTGTGCTCTTAGGTTAAGAGAGTATGGTGTGTACACAGTCATGAGTGTATATGGGCTGTGTGTAATCAAGACAGGAGTTTAAAAAGCAAGAATGCATACAACACCTCTATAAAAAGAATATCTCAAAATCAATTTTGGAGGTGAGTTTGTGGACAGAGATTAAATTTAGAATTCTCTTCTGGATTTTTTTTTTTTTTAATTTCTGCAGAATTTGATGATTCTTTATTACTGCCTAATTCTTCTGCATCTTTTGGTATCTTCCCAAGGGGATAACAGCCTGCTCTTACCTCTAATGTATCTGAGGAGAAGGAGGTAATGGATATGAGCCAGCTTTTCTCTGCTTATGAGAAAGATGTTTCATCCTGTTTCCCACCTCCTTTACAATAGCTCTCCTTTATCACGCTCCTCAGCAGAGGGTGGAGCAGAGCTATTGAAGGCTTGTGTTATGTGAAGTCCCCAGCTTTCCTTTACTTTCTCAGTCCTTCATGTCTTGGTTCCTGTGAAGAAAAATGAGAGTGGGAATAATGATACAGGTTTCCAGCTTGCCTTGCAGCTGGAAGAAGACAACACAGGTTTTTGTCCAAGGACAGCAAGCGACTCTTATGATAAAACTGGATCTCTTGACAAAGAGATGCCCTGTTCTCTTATTTTTCCATAGTTAATAGCTCTCATGGAGAATTCTGAAAGCCTGAACAACTTTTCTTTCTACCGGAGATTTCCTAAAAAGAGACAAGAAATCTTTAAAAGGGTCAGATACTTAGCAGAGAACTATTTTGTTTTCGGTAGTTTACTTCTGCATGTACATGGGCAGGAGGGGAACAATACAAACAATCTTACGTTTCTTCTGCTGTGGCTTATCATTCACTTTATAAAAAGCTCTTTTAAATAGATCCAAAATTCCACTCTAAAGAAGAATTCTTTAACACAGGTAGATGCCTCCTCCCACCTTTATCTTCTGCTTGAGAAGAGAGAAACAGCTTAGGGTGCCTTTCTAGCAACTGTTAGTGAAATAACAGAGGAAATGTTCAGATTTTTAGTCAAGATAGTGAAGGATTTGAATATGGTCAAGAAAGTTAAGAGACTTCCTGGCAAAGTCCAGGAAAAAACAAGTATCTGAATTCAAGTGATTTTTTTTTTTTTTCTTCCCAGCATGTTGTCATTTCATTTCCTACTACACTTGAGTAGAGGATGCTTAGTAGGAGCACATCTGAGGGACTAAAGACATTTCAGCAGGGAAAGATTCTTCCTTATAATCCTGCCTCAGCAGAAGGAGGTATCAAAATAATTTATATTCTCTGATCTGCAAAGTTTTGGCTATTCTGGAAAAACTTACAATTCTTCTAGCCTTCTAACAGGAGAGGAATGTATTCACACATTTCAGAACACGGAGGAGTATGTAATTTTGCTCTTAATTTTTTTTTGTCCAAAATTTGTGGGAATTATGTTCTTTCTTTTAATGATATTCTAGTCTATATACAATTGCAATGGAGGATAGTACATGTAATTCAAGGCAGAGAAGGGGAAGTTTGGCCTGAGGAGGACAAAACTCTTCCTTTCACAGTATTCTACTGCCCCAGGAAACTGAAGGCATCTGTAATATCTACATGCAGTGAAGAAAATTCAGCAGGATGCCTTTTGTGCTTTGCCAGCCCACCCAGAAAACTACACATTAACATCTTGCTTCTTGCTTGGAATGATGATATATAGCTGAATTGTCTTGGCAGGCTTTTGAGATTGCAGCTCTAGGCAGTAAGAACCTCTCAACCTAGTGTTGCGATCATCCATGCGTCCCTAATTCTGAGTCTTACACAGTCAAATAAAGCATAGTATCACTGGAATGATGCCCTGAAGAGGAGACCTGCCACAGTGTGTATCTTGATCTTTCCTGGTGTGAGCCATTGGTCTGTGAAACAGCGTAGATCTGCTAGGGGGAACTCTCAGTGAGACTGGGCAGAGGTGTCCACTAGGCACCTGAACCATTTATCACAGCTTGAATTAGCACAAGAAAATGATGAAATAAAAAACGCAGAGATAGCTGTCAGCCCAAGACTATTTAAATAGAATAAGTTTGTAATTGTGGTTTAATTTTCTAAGCTTTCCTGGCACACTTCTAAGTTCAAAGGGTTAGGAATTAAATCAATTTAGTGATCAGATTCAATCGCAGAATACTATGGAAATTTCTGAAGGTAGAGTAAAAATTATGTTGAGTTTTCTCACGGGTAGATTTTAACCTTCTTTTCTCTGCAGTATGATGTGAAGAACCATCGCACCTTTCTGAAGCGCACCAAGTATGAGAGCTTACACCTTGAGGATCTATTTGTGGGCAACAAAATTACTATTTTTTCCCGTCATCTATCCTTAGTGGACTATGGGGATCAATATACAGCTCGCAAGCTGGGGAGCCGCAAAGAAAGGTAAGAAAGCACATTTTTTGAAATCTCCCTTTGTGGTTGAGGTTTCAAAGTAGTTGTTCTGTGTCAGAAATTAGGTAAGTTTTCTGTACTATGAGGAGAGGAGGAGATAGCTACAAGTTTGCATGCAGTTTGAAGTGATCTGGCATACTGATAGCTGGAGAGAAGCAAAGTGGCCCCTGCTTGTGGGCAAACCCATGACTGCCATTGTTACTGATAAATCATCAAGGCCAGCTTTTCCATGGTGCCAACTGCTGCCTCCTCTAGGTCTCCTGGGAGAGAAGAAGGGGAGGAGAAAGCAGAGGGTCCTCTTCAGCTTTGTTACTTCCCTGGGGGCAGGCATCAGTAGGATTCTTGTGATTTGTGGATTTTCTTAGGGCAGTTGATTTCTTAGGACAATTGATATTGTAACCCCGATGTGCGCTGGGCTCGAAAGGCCTAGATCTTGCAAAACTAGCATCTGTCTCTCTGGGATCTGTGCAGAAGCCTAGAGCCTTACCAATCAGATCTACTCTGTGTTAGTAGTAGTAATCGAAAACTGGGAACGGGAGTGAGAGAGGCTCATTCCCATTCTTAGTTGTTTTTCCCACTATGGAGGATTTTTTCTGAGATTTTTTTTCAGCATCTCCTAAACTCTGTGTGCATGAGGACAGGAAGTGAGGATGTCAGTAAAACCCATAGGCTTGTTTGTTAAGACAAATTTCATTTATAACGGATGAAGGTAAGACTCATCATCTTTTTGGTTGAAAGACTTGCTTTGGAAAAGACTTTAAGAACCCATCCAAGAACAAAAATATCCAGAGAGACCTAATAAAACGACAATAAGATTAATTTACAAGGAATCTGGTTTGACTGCAGTGCAAGTAATCTCTGAATTTGCAAATTAATAAATTTTGATAATTCACCCCAGCTTTTCTTGAAAAGAACACAGAATATTTTCTTAGGTATGATGTTCCAGTGAGCCCTGTTCACCTACATTCTTGCTCCCTCCCACTAACTGGGCTTATTTTGAACTCTTTTTGGAGAGTTGTACATAACCAGACATACAGGAAGAGTTGCAAGTTTTAACACACATCTTTGTCTTAAGCTCACAAAAGCATTGCTGTGGAAATGACTGCTGTAATATCTTTCCAGGAGTTCTAGTACTTTGTCTCCAAGTTGGGGTTGGGCATGGTGGAAGAGTAGCAAAGGAGTTGGAGAAGACCAGAGGAAAGCTTCTGTGTATGAGGCTACTCTGTTCCTCAGTGGAGCTTTGGGTAGATTACATCTGTCTTGTTTGTGGGTTTTATATCAATGTAACTTTTATATTCCTGCTCTGCCTAAACTAGCATAAGCCCTGGTGCTGATCCAGTTATACCAAGAAAAGGCAACTTGTGATAAAAAAACATTTTCTTCTTCTTGTAAGGGAAGTTGCTGTCTATACAGCAGTGCTATAGCTGTGTCAATGAAGTGGTCCTGGGAGGGGGTGAATTTTTGTACTGCTCTATAGAAGGAAGGAAGGGAATTTATGACATGTCAGCTGTTTGGAAAACATTTTAGGAATGTCATCTGAAAGATAACATAGATATGCAAGTGGTGTTACATATTCAGAATAGTCCAAAGGAACATAGTGAAAGGTGTCTTAAACAGTCAAGGGTTCCTCAAAATCCAGTTTCTTCACAGAAGCTTTCACTGGGTAAACAGGGTCACAATAAGAGTCCTTGAGCAAAACAGTTGCATGTGAGGTATTTGTCTTTTTCGCCTGTTCCTAGCAGGTTTTGCAGCAGTTATTAGTTAAATAGATATAGTAAGATTTCTGCAGTACATGATAATTCCTAAAATAATCTGTAGTTGGAATTCTATTAATAATTTAAAGGATGTTGTATGAGGCAGAATGTTTCTCCATCTTTTTCTTTCCTTTATGCTGTACAGGACTATCAGCAGTTTAGTTTGACTTTGAAAATAGATCCTTTGGTCACTCAATATGTATGCAGGCAGGCTCAGCAAAGGCCTTTGAAGGAGACTGAGAAATGTATATACAAAATCTTGTATGTTTTGAATTAGGGACCTCTGTTTTTGTCAGTAAATCACATGAATGTGATTCTAGGTACATGAGGTACAAAATAGATGTGTAAAAAGAGGCTAGATTTTGTAAATTGTAGGGCCTTTTTAAGGCCCTTTCTAGAATTAGGCTAAAATTACTAAGACACTTCTATGGAGTTTCAACTTCTACACCTACTTTTCTTAACTTCTGGGTCAATTTTTAAATAGAGACATATTTGAGTGTTCTTCCCTGCTTCCCTCCCAGTGTATGATAAGGCAACCATCACAAACAGTGACTAAAACCAGTGTACCACAGAAGGAATCACTGGAGGGGGACAGGGATTTCTGTTTCTGTAGTCCTTCACTTGTGATCCTGGGTGGCTGTAACCTGAGGCAAACATTTGTCTGACTAGTGCATCCCATCTAAGTAGACTATACTTAGAGTCAGTTAATATCACTGGTTTTGAAAATGGTGTTAGAAATCTTGTGTCTCAACCAGAAATATTTGAATTCTTTTTTGATTGGGATATGTTATTCTTGTGCTTCTAGTCACTGACATAATCAGTGTTTCTTCCCTTACAAGACATAAGCTACTGTACATGCAACAGTCCTATTATTAGAAATAAGTAGATCTCAAAAGCAGAGCCACAGCATGCTTTGTGCACTGTTCCTTTGATCAGTTCCCATCTTCTGTTGTTTCAGTACTCATTGCAGTGCTGTCATACAGTCCCTCTGAAAATGTAAGCAAATTAGCTTAGTTTTAATTCTTTCTCCTTTGTTCCTAGACATAAAACTGTTTCAAAATGTACTTTGCAAACTGCATCATGTCAAACAACAAGAAACATATTCCTAATTAAAGCTAAAAATAGGGCACATGAATCAAAATCCAATCTCAGAAACAGTCTTCAGCATCCTGAATTATGCTTTTCTTATCCTGCATACCTCTGAGAAGCTCACACTGAAATGTTAAAGTTTATACGTCAGTGTAACAGAAAAGATGTTGTAACAGTTGGTTATTGCAGTTTGTATTAATGTCTTCTAGGTAAATTGCTTCATAATGCAATATTTCATTACATATTGGTAGGAATTACAGTTTTACTAGAAAGCTTGAAATTAGAAAAGTAAGGGACAATTTATTACTATCATTAGCAGTCTGTTTCAAATAGCCTGTGTAATAACATAGGTTCAAAAAATTGTTCCTCAAGGAAATGCAGACAGCACTGGAGACCTTGTTCCAGTGGTTTGGTCCTTACTGTTCATGGTAAATGACAGAGCTGAGAATCTCTTATGCTGGGATGCAGGTCATGCATTGTGTGACTGGGTGGGTACATGTCATCGGTCAAGCATGCAGCTGTTCCCCCTCCTGTGCCCCGGTGCACATGGCACACCCTGTCATATGATAAATAACATCACAAAATGAGGTGGAGCTGTGAAATCCCTGGGGCAGAGAGGAACAGGCTACGGACTGTAGGCTGCATAGAATATGCTGGCAAGCTGTGTTGGCCAGATGTCAGGCTTTCCTCATCTGAAGATAGGGCTGAAGCAACTTTAGTTTGCACTGCAATAGACTGAAGCATCGGCTTGGTTGACAACTCTCATGCAGTTTCTGTCTACACCCTTAGCCCATCAGTCTTTTTTGTGTCATATTTTCCAATAGATCTGGGCCTAATCTGCTCCATGTATATGGGCTTCCTGATGCTTGAAGAAATCTCTGTTTGTTTCTGAGGTCTGACGGTCACCAATGTCTCGCCCTTAATTTCAGATGTTCAAATCTTCCTCTTTACATTTCCTGGTCCTAACACCTCCCTTCCTTTAGATTTGCTGTGAAATAGATTGTCTGTTCCCAAAGCATCTGTCCATCTGGGGTCATTTAAGGTTCAAAATAAATGTAGTGGAAGTTCATCCATCTCCTGTAACCTCAGTGTATTTGCCCTGGCTAGGACATATTGCTGCTAACCTAAAGACTGCTTTTCTTGCTACGCTAGTATATAAAATGAGAAATTTTCAATAATTTGCCTTTCACTTAGGGAAATACTGCAATAAAAAATTCTATCTTGGGTACCCTTCGCTACTGGAAACAGTCTAAAAGATGGAAAGAGCTCTTTAGGATTGTCAGAGATGTGGAGTTTCTGAGATACAGGGTTGAATAAATCTGTTGATTTGTAAGCTGAGCACATTTGAAGCTGACTCACCACAAGATGAATGCAAATAGAAAATGCCATTTTGCAGACCTTCTTTTTGTGCTTGTTATTTTTGATTAATAATATGTTTAGTGCTGATGGTGTACTTGGTGCTATGCAAAGCACACTAATAAAGCAGTCCTGGCCTTGGGGATGTACAGTGTAAAAAGATAATTATCAAGAAGACAGGATGTACTTGGAAACAAAGATGGGGGGGGGAAAGTGTAAAGATTTTTGTATTGGTCTCCCTTAGAATATAGCTGTCAGTCACTGTAAGAGACGTAATACCTCCTCTGCCAACCTTTTATTGTGTCTTTTAACAATGTCAGCTATTTAGAGTACAACTTGTATACCATGAAGTGTTTGTACTGTACCAAACACAACAGGACCTTCTTCTCACTGAGGCCTCAAAGTATTTTAAAAGTAATAATAAAACAATCATTTCACTTTGAGTTTTATGAAAGAGGCACGTTTTAGTAGTATTTTTAAGCAGGGAATTTTAACAGCTTCATTTGTATATAATACTTAACATTAGGAAAAAAGGGAGCTGAACAAGTGTAGGGAGACATTAACAAATCAGTTGTGTTCTAACCCAGAGCCATGAGTGAGGAGCTGTAGAGATACACACTAACAAATGAAGAAGTGGTCAAATTGTTTGCTCTGATAGCGAAGGAAGAAGGCAGTAAATAATGAGTGCTGGTGGAATACTATGGGCTGACTTGGGTTAGAAAGCTGAGGAAATTGTAATGTACAAAGCTCGTTCTTATCAGAATAATGTCTTGCGCAGGCATTCAAGAACAGCGTGGAAATTGATGAGACACTGGGACTAGGATGTTTGACTGTGGCAGAATTTCTCTCTTTGATGTGATTTTTTTTTGTCTGAATATAAACTTAACATGCACACCAAATCCTCTAAGGAAAGTAGTGTTGGCTGTATCTCTCAACCTTTTTTTTTCCCTCCCCCCTCAGAACACTGGCTTTGATTAAACCCGATGCAACGACCAAGATTGGAGAATTAATTGATATCATTATTAATGCAGGATTTACAATAACTAAGGCCAAAATGATGGTGCTTTCGAGGTAAGGAATCTTTAAGGTTAGCTCTATTGTATCTAAATACTACTTTTTGCAGTTAAGAACCTTTTCTGAAACTATCCTGTGTTGTTCCACACATCAAATCCATTCCAGTGAGTAATAGAGGGAAGATTCATCAGTTTCATTATCATGTAGGATTATGAAAGCATGCTGAGAATTAAGCTCAGTATTAAAAGTTCTGTGCAATGAGTATGGGTGATTAAATATGTAATGTCTCTTTATGAATCCAAGGTGACTACCAAAGCTTTAGCAATTCATCAGTGTTTACTACTGACAGCTGTGTATGTCCTCACTTCATGGCTTTCCGATACAAACCGTATTGCTGATTGTAACAGCATTGTCTTTAAAGTAGTTAGTTTGTTGGCTCTCAGTAGATCTGTTGTCTTAATTTGTGCTCTCAAAACCCAAACTTGTTTGCTTTTTAGTGACTGGAAGTCCCAGGAACAGCAAGTGATCTTCTGATGTTGTTGCAGGGTTGGACAGATTTTACTCATGCATCTTCCTAATCGCCCCCAACCTTCATTGTTCTCCACTTATCTCATTGAGCCACAAGATTTTAAAAAAGATGTGGCAGAAAAAATAAAACATAATTAATTTACCTTAGAAGATTTCCCCAGAGTTACTGCACTATTTCTCCATGGCTGCTTTGCCAAACCTGTTTATATATGACAAGTCTTTGCAAAGAAAAGCTATCTGTCCTGCATAATACTGGTTTCATGTGTTCTTATGGCTTGTGTGTGAGGTCAGGAACAATTTTTCTCTACCTCAAAACCTTTTTGGGTCTCTGAAATACTGATAAAACAACTGTGTGACTTCCTCGTCTTGTCTCTGCATTTACCTGCTGCGGTGTTGGATAGTACTGGTCCCACATGCTCCTTCAAACAACTCCATGAGTTCAATCAGGTTTCTAATGCTGATTTAAAATTCACAGTGTCTTTCAAGCCACCTTTTTTTTTTGCTTGCTCTCCTGCAGTCTGAGAGATTTGATCCTGGAGTATTGTGTTGGGTGGTTCTTTATTTCAGTGTCTGTCTGAGAACTTGAAGAACTGTTGAGCCAAGCCATGTGCTTTAGAGTTGACTCACACTGAAGGGAAGAAACTTTACAACTTGAACTTTTACTGCCTATTGCTATGTAAAAATTTCTGCTTGTTTTGTTTAATTGAAAATAATTATTAATAAGGACAAGATTAGGCTGTGATACTGGCTATATTTAAAATAATGTGTTGAGTATTTGTGGTTTTTCTGCATACTATATATTCTGTTTCTTGGGACTGTGCCATTTTAAAATGATAGAACTATGTCTTTGCCAAAGTCTTCTACCCTTAGATCTCTGCAGGCATGCTTGTTCAAACCAGCATCATCATCTAATGCTTTCTTTAAAGGGATTATTACTGGCATTTGTCTGGCAATCACTGTTAAGTAGATTCATGTCTTCTGCAAAAATTGTAGCCAAGATACAAAAGTGAGCGCAGGCACCTGCTTTGATAAGTCAGCTCTCTGGTCTCTTCATTTAATCATATGTCAATTCAGTCTGTTATTCCCAGATGAGCACTGTTTTCCAATCTTTAAAAGCAGAGAACTAATGAGACAGATGAAATTAAAAAGGAACTAAGTTACACAGCACAACTGCATTTTTATATTTATTGCAATAGGAATTCTTAGCTGAGTAGCAGAGCTCAATTTGTTACAAAAATATAACCCTCAAATATTTCTTAATGTTCAGAAATTATAATACTTAATCTGATTGCATACCTTTTTCGTATTTTCTTTCCAAAATTATTTGGTGAATTAGTTTCAGAAGAGGATTTCCTGGTAAAATACTGAATTGTAAGCAAAAACTTCAGGCTATTTGCAGAGTGTAATTCTGAAGCATGAGACTTCAAGAATTCCTGTGACTGGCATAATTTTTAAATTATGTTTCTGCCTCAGTTATGAAATGGAAGGAAAGCATATTAGCTGTATGGTCAGTGAAAATCTTCTGAGTTTTGAAGGGCTCATGCTTACACTGAACTGAAAGCAACAAACCAGGAATTATTCAGTTCCAATGAGCAGGTGGTCATTTTGATAAAAAAACTGGAGAAAGTTGTGACTGTTCAAATATTTGTCAAGGTTAGGAAAATTAAATTCTTCTTAGGTTCCCCTTGAGGTTATTTCTTTCCTCTAGCAATATTGGGCTTAAGTCTGGACTGCATGTGGGAGAGAGATGTGAAAAATTCTGTTGCAGATGACAGAACTGTGACGTTGTTCATACTTGGAATCTGTTATTTGAAAAACATGCAGATAATTTCTTTTAGTAAAGAGAGCTGTTCAAAGTGAGCAAAATCATGGAGACTGTTTCTACAGGTAAAAACAGTTTTCCAAGTGGGAATCTTTTAGTCTCCCTGCAGCTCTGCTTTGATTATAAGCTTATGAATTTGATATACCCAGACTAAGGGTGAGCAAAATTGCTTCCTTTCACCTGTCAATCCTCCTGAGGAGCTTGTCCTTCTCCACAAATTCCAGCTTCAGAAATTGGTATACACCAGGATTTGGAGCAAGCCAAGACCAAGCCTATGCTTCTGAACTGGAATTTTGAAGCTGCAAAATTACTTGAAAACCTCCATGGATTTTTCTAGCTGTTGCCATGCAGAAAAAGCAGTGCAGTAAGCAAGAGTTAAACATGAGAAGCAGCTGGAAAAAAAAGCAAGGAAGAGAGTAGGTTGGCTAGCTGCAGGGAGTGGTGGGGTGAAAAGCCACCGAAAAGCCACTGTCACAGGTGATGGATGATGGGTCTGCACCATGGTCCCTGAAACTTGTGTAGTTGGGTGGCTGAGCCCAGTGCTGGTAGCAGCGTGGCTGTGGCAATGCAGAGCTTGGAGAGGGCCACCACCCTGTCTGGAAAGGGTATCTTTTTGCTTCTAGTACCTGAGTAAAGGCTAAGTAACAGCTGTGGTACAGACATACTGTGTATGCCTGCTGATCTTTATTAGCTAGGCATTGTAAGGAGGCCTCAGCATTACAGAAACTCCATTGCCCTGTGAGAAGGCAGTGTGTAGTAACTGCTGTGTTGCCCGACAGGAAGAGCAAGACCAAACTGAGTTTTCGAGAAGGAAAATGTGGCAGAAATCAAGTTTTAGGCTGGAGAGCATTGTGCTGCCTATGTGACTTGTAACATTTGAGGATACTGAATAGAAACTGTATTATGCAATATTCTGTTGTGCACCAGTGTAATCAAACACTAGCCTTGATAAGGAAATAAGTTCCAGTGAAGCAGATAAATTGTTTATTTATGCTTTAAAACCAAACTTCATTAACCAACACATACACTCAAGCTGAGATGAAAAATGAAAACAACATAACAGCAAATGGCTTGGCAAGAAGGTGACTCTGCTGCATTTATTTCTCAACCTGAGAATGTGAAGACCATCAGTGACCCTGAAAGTCCATGCTATGGGCTTTAGTAATTACTTCCTTCCCAGAGCAGGAGCATAAGGAGGAGTCAGCTACAAGCTACACCTGTAGTCACACAAAATATGACAGACATTTGAATGTAGTTTCTGTTATTAGGCATGAACACCCCACAAGCTGTCCAGCTTGGGAAGACATTACCTGTAGAAACACATTGATGAATGATAGTTTGTGATTTTCAGGGGAGTTTATATAGATATGTGTGTGTATATCTATATAACTATATCTGTGTTTTTTTACTCTTCCAGAAAAGAAGCAGCTGATTTCTATGTAGACCATCATTCAAAACCTTTTTATAAGTAGGTATATCAATTTCAGCTTGATATGTATTAAGCTTATTTATTGAATGCACAGGATTCATTTAACGTATTTGATACTACAGGACCATGGGAAAACCAGAACTTGTCTTAGTTAAGTGGAGCCCTTTGCAAAGTATGCAACCTGTTCACCTTCCTCCAGGGACAGATCCTTATTTCAGCTACTCTTTACAGCCCAGTGATATCAGGGGAATCTCTGTGGTCTCTCAGAAGTGAAAATGCTCCTAGCAAGGCAAAACTTCAAAGCCAAGGGAAGGAGCATCTTCAGGATCAGGGTGGAGCTTGCAGTTAATGAGAATTAGGGGGGAACACTTAGCTGTGAGTATTGATTTGGTAGCAAGTACCCCAAATCATGAGTAACTGAAACAATAGTGCATGGGGCAATTGTTTAGTGTACTGCTACCCTTAGACAAAACGTCAAACTTCCATGATGCTAGACTGCTCCACCTGACATGAAAAATCCTAGTCTTTCCATAACTGACCAGATGGACGCTTATAACCCAGAGATTGTGTCATTTCTGCTTTGCCTGAAAGTGCCAACAAACAACTTTCTTTTCTTCCCTCTGGATTTGGTGGTCTGGCTCTTTTAGGTAGAGGGTGAAGCTCTGCTTCATGTTTTTCAGCTATTTTGGAATCTGGGTTTGCACTGACTCGGTCAAAGGACCTGGTTTCAGCACTATCATGAAGTGCTTGAGTATTAGGACCTGCCAGCTGCTCTTCTGTTACAGCAACTGATTTATTGTGGATCCAAACTCAAGCCCTTCATGGAGACATGGCTCCAGGCTATGTCTGACCGTACTGGAGATCAGAGGAAGATTCAGAATTGCCTTTTCTTTGCTGAGTAAACCTGTTTGAGTATGTTGATAAATGAGCAAGTATTTTGCCTGTAGTGTTATTTCACAGATGTCTATCTACACTAATTATAATTATCTGAGGAATTGTAGCCTTTGTCCACTGTGATGTGCATGTCTCTCATTCTACAGTCCTATTGGCTATATATTCTGTGTAAGATTTTTCTCTAAATTAGAAACCAATAGTTATAAAGCATTACAAATCAAATAGAACAAGAATCTTCAAGGCAGTGAAATGTAAAATCTCTAACTCATTTATATTTAGCATTGTATTACTTGTCTTTAAATTCAGATTTAGTTTGCAAATTCACTAATCAATGTAAGTCTAGTGAATAGTAGGGAAAAATAACAATTCTACTTGTTTGGAAAAGGATATTTTTCACATTAAATAATTTAATTTAAAAAAATTATTTAATATTCAGGATTAGTCTGCACAGTAAGCAGTGCTGTTGAAATTGATCTTTATTTTCTTGGGAGTATATATGTATAAGTCATTTAACTATATCCTAAACAAGCAGTCTCTGACCAACAGAACCTGAGTTCCAATAGCTTTTCCTTGTGTAGTTTCTTTATGCATATGTAACTTTTCATGGTTTTAATATCGTTCCCTTAACAAAGAAATAGTAGGATTTCTCTTCTCTTCTTGCCCACTGATCATCTGCATAAATGTTAATTAGGAAGAAGATGGTTGGAGAAGCATGTACAGCCACAATTATAAATGTGTAAAGCTCTTTTTTAAAGAAAGTGGTACAGAAAGCAGTCAACTTTCTCCTTTGATGGTGTTGTCCAGACTACACAGTGAAAAGGCAGGCTTGTTGATATGCATGTTTTGTAAAGATATAGAATTATAGTTATGGTGTTTTGCTTAGTTTTTAAATAGAAAGTTTGGGTTTCCAACTTTGGGTGGCTGTTTTCTGTGTAAGTGAGGTGGTGAAGGCAGGAGGCGAGCTGCCCCTGACAATCTCTTCTCCTTACTCAGATTCATCCCATTAAAAGCAGTTGAGTTCTGCTTATGCAGATAACTCACCTTGTGGTTAAGTCCCTTCTCCACAACAAACTTTCCAAATCTTGCTTCTCCCTTCTCTCCCACTTTGGATTTTGGCTGGGCAAAATCCACAGGGGAGACTCACAAGGCAGTGGAAAAATCCGTCCTGACAGCAGTGCTGAAGTTGTGTCAGTGGGGAACATACACAGGTCATGTGTGAGAATCCTGAAATCCTGCTGTGCAGAAGAGACATGCTTAGGCATTGTTCCTGTCAGACAAATAGCAGAATCTCTTTCACTGTTGCCAGTACTGACCTTTTAATTTTTTTTTTTTTTTTTAAATCTAACATACTGCGCAGTAGCTTGAGTGAGTTTGTATTATCTGGTCTGGTTCTTTTTCTACAACCATAATAAGAAGAGAATGTCTACACATGACCTAGTCCAACCTCCTCTTCAAAGCAGAGCCAATTTAGTTAAATACAGTTACTTAAGGCCATGTCAGGTTGAATTCTAAGCATATCCACTTGATCATATGTTTTTGTTGGGTTTAATTTGTAGCATGGATCACCATGTTCTGTTTCCATTTTGCAGTGAGCTTCTCCAGTTTATAACAAGTGGTCCCATTGTTGCTATGGAAATCTTAGGAGATGATGCGGTTTGTAAATGGAAAACATTACTGGGACCAGCAAACTCTGCAGTGGCTCAGACTGATGCACCAGACAGCATTAGAGCGAACTTTGGACATGATGGCCTAAGAAATGCAGCTCATGGCCCAGATTCAGTTGCTTCAGCTGCTCAAGTAAGTTTTTGACTGTTTGTTGACTGAGATTTTTTTTTACTTTATCTGGTAACAGCTGGATCATGAATTCCTGATTTTTTTCCTCACTTGAGTTTAGAACTAGTTTAGATATTCTTCATGGATCCTTTTTAACATGGAAAAATAAACTGCCTGAAAACAGAAATCTTGAATATCTGTCACAAAGGGGAAGCTTGAACACTTTGATCAGAAGACCATGCCTGGTCATTTTTAATGTCTTCTGTCCATCACAAACATTGAATTAATTGCATAGTCTGTGTAATCTACCTATAGTCTACCAAAGTCAGTCATAAAAAGGAATGGGTTAAACAATTAAATATTTTTGCACCCTTCTGTGTTTTGCTTATCCCTTCTCCACAGTCCTCACTAGTCCTCTGCTTGCAGCCTACTTTCCTCTGCTGTTATTGCTCAGAATGAATAATCATGAAAACAGGCTACTTTATAGTGCTTTGTGTTTTGAGAGGTAATACAGTAGGCTTGGCTTTGAGGAGTTTGTCTCTCTTTTGCTTTGTTTGCAGTGTGTCTTTTCTTAGTGCTAAGAAAAAGCCCTGGGACTGGGTGGCAGATGTTACCAGCATTTTTACAGAATTGAGGTGACTATTTACATGCATCATTGTGGGGTAGATATGCTGATAAATGATGGCAGAAATAAAGTTTACATCATGATTGATTGGTATTGTGCTGTGGTATCTTTGCTGTAGAGCGATGGGCAAAAGGTAACAGATGTTGCTTCCTCGATCCTAGTCTTTCCTCTATTTAAGTTGGAACAGCTGCAGTAGCGCAGCTGGAGAGACCTGCCCTGGCATGCCTAATAAGCTGGCAAGTACTGCATACTTGAAAATATCTGTAGAGATTATATCCTGGTGATAAGGGCTGAGTTGGTTGGCCTCTTCTAGCAGGCTATTACGCTGTGTGGCATAGCAAGCTGACTGCAAAGTGTGAGTAGTTTTCTGCTGGTTAAGCACGCATCTCGCTTACCTGCACCGTGCCTGGGCTGCTGGATCCTCTGCCAGTGCCTCTGGTTTTGACAAGAAATCATATGCTGGGCCTGAAGTACTTTTTCTGCTGTCAGATTTGATGGTTTGGAGTCAGAAAAAGTTTGGATAAAATTGATCTTTTCTGATGAAGGAGAACTGTAGTCAGGAAAGTCTCTGTAGTTCTGATTGAATAGCTACATGTCTTCATATCTAAGGGGGAAAGTTCTCTTTGTTCCTGTGTACTGCCATGACAACTGTGCCAGCTTTTGAACCAAGAGTGTAGGAAAGAGTATTAGCATAAAATTTTGATTAGAAGCATAAGTGTGTGCTTTGGCTTAAATTTGTTGTTCTTTTTATATTTCATTGTTTTTGAAATGCTGTATGAAGGCCCCACTCATCTGCAGCATTTTTGTGACTCTGGGATTATTTTGCTGAACTTTCGCAGGTGTGTGCATCTTTGTGGTGTTATTGATACCAATCTTCAATAAATCAACCAAAATTGTGAATTTAATATCCCTGTGCCTATTTTAATTTAATAGGCCTGGTATTATATGGCTGTATAGCAGTTGCCATGGAAACTAGTTGGCTGCACCTTGCAGAAGCTTTGCTGAAAAGAAGGAAATACAAGATAAAGGGACCTTAATGGACTCTTCTGAAGGAAAACTGGTCTCAAACACATTTAATGAATATATTGTAAAATGAACAGTTAGAACAAAAGACTGCATTGCTCTTTTGGGATCTAAATGACAAGTGAAAGTATGTCCCTGGTATACTTTAAACTGTGTCCCTCTGCAGGCTAAATTTTGGAATTTCTTTAGCTCGGGAATAAAAGGAAAGGAAAATAATTTTATTTTTAAGGCTCTACTTGGTTATAGTTTGGCATTTAATTATCCTAGTCCTTCAGCATTATTTAGTTACTTTCCTCTTATGACTTTTAATGGATAAAACAAAGTGTAATTTTGCTGCTTTTTCCTGGATGCTTTGTTTAGAGTAAACATTAGTCAACAAAGTGGGACAAGGTCTTTGAAGCATGCAACATTTTATCAGTAGAAAGATGTAGGAAATGAACACTTTTGCCTCAGATATGCCCACTTAAAATGTGGATTATTTACTAGGAGAAAACTCAAACTGTTTCCCCTTCTATTGAAAGATCCATTAGTTTGAATTGTATAATTGTTCAAGTAAGGATTACAGGAATTGTCAGAATGCCATGAGGTAAGGACTGGGAGATAGCTAAGTCCGTTCCATCTGAATTGAGCTAGTAGATTAATGAGACAATCACAGGAAGTGGCATTTAGCACTGCTACTGTTACACAGGAAAAAGTCAGATTCAGTAGTATTATTTCTAGGATATTATTGTTTCCCTTAAATAGAAATTTGTAAATTCTTTTGCTGAATTTGTCCAGTAGGTCTGAAATGGAATCTGTGTTTTGAGCATTTGACTAATGTTAATTGGCAGATTGTGTAACATATGTGAATAAATGGTATGGAAAAAGTGTGAATCTGGCAGTGAACAGTGAAAAAAATGACACTGAGGAAAGAAACCTGGCTGTCAAGCTCACCCCAGTATGATCTAAGACCCAAGCTATATGATACTTGAATAGTGATGGGGGGGAAGAAAGGAAGTGATTGGGGGCAAAGAGGTTCTTTTGATTCATCCCAGAAATCAGAGCAATTGAGTTCATCAGCTCCAATTCAGTAAGATAAATAAAAAGTAAATAATAGGGTCAATAAGGCATGAGGAGTGAGCTACTCATTTTAGAGAAAGTTTAGTTGCTTAAGGCAAAAGGAAAAAAATTCTGAACAAATGGGTTGAAGGTCAGTTTTCTATATGGAAGGAAAACATAGTGAGAAATGGATGGTAGTTGCATTTTTGCTCATATGATGGAAAAGATGATGTAAAAATAGAGAAGATAAAATATGTATATATGAGAGTGGATTTGTGAAAGATACTGAGGAAAGAGAGAATTCACAAAACTGGGAACACATCTACCAAATAATCATGGCAGCAGCTTTTTGAATGCTCTGGATAGAAATGGATTGTGTTGCAGAAGTGAAAGACATTGAAGGCATTGCAAGAAATACACAAATCAAGTTTTAATGATTGTAGCAATTGTGCCAGAGAGGGAAAGATATATTTGAGAGAATATTATGGGGAAAAAGTATTTGTAGCCGAAAAAATCTATAATGAAGGTTTCTCTTCCATGACTATGGATACTTCGAATGTTGTTACTTATGATGAAAGCTGATGTATGCAGCTAGATCGATCTAAAATGTATTCAATTACAATTGTTTTCAGGAGCTGGAGTTGTTCTTTCCCTCCAGTGGAGGTCGTGGACCAGTCAACAGTGCAAAATTCACAAACTGTACTTGCTGCATTATTAAGCCTCATGCGGTTAATGAAGGTAAGCAGTGCAGATAGTGGAGATGAAAGCAATGTGTGCTTCACTGTATCTGTGATCATTCCTGTGCCCTTTTTTGGGAGAATGAGACTGCAAGAGCACAGGGTATATTTCGTGGTATGTGCAGAAGTATGCAGATATGCTGCCTTTCATACACCTTTAGTGCTTCTGTAGTTCAGTTCCATGAAGAGTGGGTCACGGGCTTTCCATGTGGATACTTATTCATTTCAGAATAAGAAGGGAGAAGTCAAAAGAAGTATAAAAATATACATGAGATTTGATGAATCTTACTGTGACAGCTTACCATGTCCTTGCTCCTGTCTGCCCACTACGCTCATCTGATGGAGGTTAGCATCCTCATGACACAGTGAAAGCAGGACATCTTGCCATATTTCAGGCCCTTCCACTCATGCAGTAACACATTACATTAAAACTACTCATAAAGGGAAACTTGTGCTGATACGAATCTTGTACTGCTGAATGCACTGAGAATGGAAAGTAGAAAAGGCTTGTTTACTCTGTGAAAGTGAGCCAAAGACCTAAAGCATTTTCTGGACTCCATGATGCTTTCTGTGCTGGAGAATGCCCTGTGAGCTCACCATATGAGTATTGGAAATGTTTAACGCCCAACTGTTACCATGCAAAAATAATCTCACTTTTGTGGCCTGAACTTAGATCGAGGAGCGTGTATAGGAGCAGTGAATGCAGTAAAATATTTTGGCTCTGGCACTGCAACAGTATTTTTGAGTGCAGAATAAATATTGGCATGTGAAAGCATTGAGATTTTTCTTAGTAAGATGCAGAGCACACTGCAGCGTTTTAATCACTTCTCAGTGGATAGCTGAAATGGAAACAGCAGAAGTGGCCCTAGCAGTTTCCAGGCCTTTCACACCTCAAGTGGGATGTCTGGAGAGCTTGCTGAAAAAAAAAATGGCTTTCACAAGAAAGAGTCTCGTACTCACTGCTGATAATATGCCTGTTATCTCTTTGAGGCCTTGTACGGTATCTCCTACTGATAAGTCTGCCATGCAGCAAAGACAGATGTTCCTTTTACAGAAATATGGGCAGCAGCTGGGACTATGATCTTACCTAGCTAAATGTTTTCAGAGGACAACCTTTTCTGTGACAGGATTGTCAGGGCCCTTCATTTGATTGTGAAAATAGCAAAGTGAATTGTTTGGGCTGTGCTTTCTTAAGATAAATTTCTACTACATATAGGGGCTCACACTCTCTCTTAGTGAGCTCAGGTTGTCCCTCCCTGCTTTTAATCTTCGTTTCTGTAGATTTCACAGTGCCCTGTCTGTTCCTTTCTTTCTTTTTTCTTGAGCTTCTCAGAATTTTTCTGAATCACCAAAGGACAAATTCTGGCCCTATTTGCATTCCCCTCTGTGAGTGTGAGTGTCTAGAGGAGGTAGGGGTAGAGAGAAATAGAGAAATTGGTATGGGCACAGGTAAACAGAAAATGTAAGTGCACACCCAGCTTTACAATGTGAGCACTAGAAAGACTGGACTAAACTTGAACTTAATATCCACTATATTGTCCTTTTTCTCACACCACGGAGGACTGGAAAGGCAGACCACGGCTGTCAAACAGCAACTAAAATTTGAAAGACAGAGTGTACGTTGTGCGAGCGTTCTCCATCCATACAACTTTGATTACGATGCCCAACAGAATGAAGAAATCAAAACTGATCTTTTTTTTTTTCTAAGTCAGCAAAGCATTTTACCAATTTTAAATTAGTATCAAGAATGATGGAATTCAGGGACTGGCTATGCTTTTACCTTACTAAGCTCTGTTGTTCCTGCCTGTTTTCTCCAATGTTACTTTGAATGTTTCAAAAGTCACAGGTGCTGCATCTCTTAAAGAGATTATGAGACTGAGGAGGTCTTGTAAAACTTTCCAGAAGTCTGGCTTCCAACAGGGAGCTGGGCTTAGGGAAGGGAAGAGTCACTGTGGCTGGGTGGTGGCCTCCTTCTTTGTCTGAGAGCGCCGGTGTGGCTTCATATTGCAACTGGACTTGTTGCAGTCTGCAGTTTGAGGTGAGATGAGTCCATCTTCACAAGGGTTGCAGGAACTCTCCAACATCAACCCAATGGGCCAGGAGTGTTGCAGCGGCACGGATTTGGCTTTCTTAGGCTGTCCTCTTCTGTCTTCCTTTGTCTTTCTCATAATCTTCTTCAGCCTAAATATCACTGAGTGGCATCTCTTTTGGTATGCTTGGTCTCCTTAGAAAGCACTTTGCATTGTCACAGTTGGAAGAACCATGTGCAACAGGGTAGAGAGCTGTGAGCTAGCTTTGCAACAGTTTTTGGAAGTCTTAATTCTGAATTTACTCTCCTACTATTAAACTGCCAGTTTTAAAGTTGAAGGAACATAGCCTTTGCCTCCTATAGATTTTAAGGGTTTTAAAGCGTTGAGCATGCTGTGTGGCAATGGCAAGCTGTCTCTACAGAAATTCCACCATTCCTCCTTCCCTGTGCAGACTGCTTTGGAGTCAGAGAATAGAGTGCTGGGAGGGTTTGGGGGGACCAAACAACCCGCTCAGGAGAACTGCCAGCTGCCTGGCTGAAACAGGCAGAGAAGAAGGGAGAAGCCCAGCTTCAGGGATTAGAGAGCAGAGACATGGCAGTGGAGCAGGTTGGCCCCATGGATTGTGCATCTGTAGGCAGAAAGCTTGAGAAAGGAAGGGCTGACCTGTTTGGGCTCAGCAATACACGACCGAGCGGGGAGGCCCTGCTCATCTTGTCTCCCTTTTAACAGCTGTTAGCAGTTGCGTTCAGTGATACCTGAAACGTTCTGATTATACCAGCAACGTCTCCTGTATCTCAGTTGAAGTAGGTGCTATAGCAACTAGTGAGCTGCCCTTTTGGCAAAATTGCATATAGGAGACTGCATGGTCTTAAAAATAAGCAACTTGCTTACCCCCAGCAAGAGTGCTCCTAGCTGTGGCTGTCCATCCTGCTGTTTCTGGAGAGGAGAATGTGAGTGGAAACACGGCAGCTGGAGAGGAAAGGAAATCCTGTGTGGCCATCAGTGTGAAAAGTTGGTTTGGCAGAGGCAGAGCCATGGAGAGGAATTTATGTGGGTCAAAGCAGCAGAGTCTCTTATGCATTGCAGATGTGATTTGCGCTCCACAAATTTTTGGTACTGAGTATCTAAAAATAAACCTTTTTGCCATTTCCTAAGTGCTGCTGAGGCTTTGAACTTAATTATCTAATTTACCATGAATATAATCTACTCGTTACACATTTACAATTATGTGAAGTTTCACTCACATACTTGAGCTTATACGGAGCTTTAGTCTTTACTTCTGCAGAAACATTTGACCAAATTCATGATTTGAATTTTTCTCTCCAGTCCTTTTTCCCAGTGTTTCCTTTTCCTCAGGAGTCCATTTCATAACTGACTCTTAGAAGGAAAAATCTTCTCTCTTTTCATCCTGGAAGATGGTTTGCTTTAACCACAGGTGTAAGCTGGGAGACTTTTCAGCGAGTTTACCTTGCTGTCAAAAGCCAGGATCTAATCTCTAGTTTATGCTGGTTAATTTTCGGGCAGAGTGCTTGCTTAGAAACCGACTTTGATTACTCTAGAGGGTTTATAGGGTTCCTATCCAGTGACAGAGCAGTGGAAAATCACTGTGGGTTTTATCTCTGGCCTTGCTGACCCTCTCCTGCCAGGAGCGTGTTGCTGGGGAGCCGCAGCAGCGCAGCCTGACCACCTGCAGCAGGACCTGGCGCAGCGCTCACGCGTGTGGGGAGTCCTGGAAGTGAGAGTGCCAGAAGTGCCTGGCAGGCTGCGGGGGAACCCTGCGGCCTGATAAAGGCTGTCGAGGGAGTTACGCGAGGTTTAACTTCAGCTGTCAAGGATGCTGGGAGTGCTGGAGTGGTGGTATCGCTGGCCCTCTAGGAATGTGTATGATAGGCGCCTCTTAAAGAAGCAAGGCAATAGCTGTTTTGTCAGTCTGGTGTCAGCATAACGTCTTCTGTGGAGGATCAGAGATGGGAAACCAGCTGGGAAGGCCACGGAAGGCGATGCAGCCCAGTGCTCAGGGCTAGACCACTCAGGCTCGTTCTCTAGCAGCATCTCCTGGTAGCGGTGAAGCACTTCCCTGGCTGGCGGGAAAGTTGGCTGGAAAGTGGTGAGGTGGTTGTATTTTAACTCTGAAGGAGGTTTGCAGGAGCAGTCCAATTCCTCTTTATTGGGAGCTGAAAGAGTGCAAAAGCAACCTGACGCTACTCCACGCGGACTTGTTCTGACCAGGGCTGTGTCTAGAGGTTTGACCCCTCTAGAACCCACCACACTTTTCAGTGTCTTAGCCTCCTCCTTCTCTTCTCCTGAGACCAGTTCTCAGGTGAGGAGGTTCATAACTAGTAAGCACAGCTCCTCAGTGTGTTGATTAGGATTGTAAGGCTTGTTTAATAATCGGAGGGTTTTAGTGTGGGTCTGTGTTCTGTAACCCGACTGCTTCTTGTGCTTGGAGCTTCTGATAATTCAGGTACAAGGTCACAGTTGCAATCGTTCAGACACTTTTTTTTTGTAGTTCGCCTCATGTTATTAGATCTGGAGGTATTAGCAGCAGTGCTCAGAAGGCAAGACTGTAAATGCACCAAAATGGATGAACTTTAGTTTAATGCCCTGAGCACAGTTATGACTCGACTGTTTTGTCAGCAGAAATAGCATCTTGTAGATCACTGGGTGGGATTAACTTTAATGTATTTATGCGTAACAGTTTAGTCATGTTAGCTGTAGGAATTAGAATTTGGTATCTCATGACTGGTTTAAAGTTTCTTTGATGTGGCTTTTACTTAATTCCTTTGACAAACAAGCAGGGAAAGGATTATGAAAGTCGTGATGATCAGGCTATAGAGGCTGAGATCAGAAGTTTGTTATATTTCACATTTTGTACTTAGGGTTACAGCACAGAGTTTGGGAGGCAAAATCTCACCCTCCTTTTCTGAACTCCCAAGCTGAGACATGGGTTCTCCTAAAGTCAGAGTTTTGT